TGCATATTCAATTACATATTAAGCTATATTTTAAGTATAGAGCTAGAACTGTATGCTAAAAATAAATATGAGTAAAAATAATCATGTACTGCTTTAAAAACTGAACTTAGTAAATATATAAACAATATATTCCAAAGCTTGGGATTTATGTATTCCCTATAATATCTAGCAAATAATTATGGCAAGTTTGAAACATCCCCATCACCCATTTCTGCAAGATTTCATGTTATTTAGTGGTGCCGACAGATTGCAGTTCACATATTACAGATTTTGAGTAAACAAATCTGCTGTTTAAAAATCAGAACTGAATATGAACAGAATTGTAGATAGCCATGACAGTATTTGGAATATTACTGAGAAATTCTGAGAAAGTTAACCAATTATATCACATTGTATGCATGCATGTAGACAAGTAGGTACAAATCTAATTGCTAAGGTGGTAGGCAAAAGTATTAGAGAATTAAAAAGGAACAAAAAGGCCAGGGATGGTGGCTCAAGCCTGTAATCTTAGCACTTTGGAAGGCTGAGGTGGGAGGGTCATTTGAGGCCAGGAGTTTGAGACCAGTCTGAGAAAAAGAAAGTTCCTGTCTGTACAAAAAAATAGAAAAATGAGCGGGGCATGGTGATGCACACCTGTCATCCCAGCTAGTTGGGAAGCTGAGGCAGGAGGACTGCTTGAGTCAGGAGTTTGAGGTTGCAGTGAATTATGATGAAGCCACTGCATTCTAGGACAACAGAGCAAGACCTTGCCTCAGAAACAAAATAAAACCAAAACATAAATAAATAAATAGGAACAAAAAAAACAAGCTTTAGTGTACCATCTATGTCATAACTGAAAGCTTAGTCTGATTTTCTTCCACATATGAATGAGAGGAAAATTCAAGAGTTATAAGCTAATGCCAAAGAACAACAGACACAATTTAAAAAGATAAGTTGATAAGTTTCCATGTTACAGTGTTTTGTAGAATTGGTCATAGCAGATTCACATCCGCTCTGCTCTGTTTGCGAAGAATGGCATCAAAGTGACAAACATATCAAGATAGTGGTTAAACCTAGCGATGCTGCAGAAATGAACTGTGCAATGGGGCCTCCCACCTCTTGCCTGTCGTCCAGGCCCACAGCCTTCCTGTGCTCCAGGGCTGTCCTGTTGCACGCTCCACGGAACTAATTGGCATCTGCGCCATTTGTGAGTCTTCCATCTATAAGAAAAGAACAGAAGCCCAATAGAGAGGAAGCGAAAATGTCAGGCAAATCACAGAGATATAGCAGCATGAAAACATGACTTTGACCACTGCAAACGGGAATTTATTTAACAATGCTCAGTCCTATCTAAATTTAATTTAGAGCTCCATCAAGGTATTATAAGAAGCAGCATTAAATGTAAAAGTACTTTCTTTGGCGGTGAAAACAAAAGTACAACATTGTCAAGTTCTACGAGGCTCAACTGAGAACATTTAACCTTTTAAATAACCGGTACTGTTCAGAGATGCACCAGATGGCACCAAAAGTGATGGATTCCATTTAAATAAGGTATATTTATTTTTATTCAAGTTTTGAAGCCGTATTCAAGTCAGGGTTCTTTGTACAGTGCTCTTTTGGTTAGCACTGTAGGAGCAACTCAGCAATTGCAACTATAATACACTTCATAAAAACAAATTTCAAAAACGAAGTTTGGGCTAATAGTTGTCAATATTCATGGTGTAAACAAACAATTATACTATTTGTCATTTCAGAATTAAAGACTGATGTATTAAGATGGCAAATTTGCCATCCATTTCATCTTAAATTATCATTTTGTGATTATACTT